AAAGATATATATATATATATATATATATTAGTGTATCTCAATGATACTAAAATAACTCTGAATCAAAGTGAAATAATACTGCAAAATCACTCAAAATCAAGTCATGAAGTGGGATTCATTAGTGGTCCTTTTCAATATTCAATATACATGTGCTTCGTATTGTACATCTTGTGTGCAATCCTGAATTTCCTTGAAGAATATGATCACCACTGATATAAACTGCATGGAGAAAGTTGGTTCAAAAGCATCAGTATTTGTCAGCAGTGAGCTCACTGAACAGGTTTTAGGGAAGCATTAGGCCTGACAGGCAGACAATGAAAGCTGTTAAGAATTTGCTATAATAATTCTCTAATTAGACAGAAACGGGAAGTAGACAAGCAATATCTATTGAGTGGTTTCCTGTTGGAAGCCAGTACATTTGTTGTCGGTCCAAGTCCTAAAACTGGGACCCTGCCATGCCAGTTATTTTCATTTTGACGCTGAACGGCATTCTTCTCTGGTGAGAGGCAGTTTAAGGGCTTTCTGTCAAAACACATTATGAATCGACCTCAATTTATTCAAGTAGTTACATTGAATCACTCCAGGAATGTTGTGGACGGGATACACAAAGAACACTAAAAGTGTGTGTGTGTGTGTGTGTGTGTGTGTGTGTGTGTGTGTGTGTCATGGATTAAACACAGGAAGATTGCGCTAATGAGAGACCGCGCTGCTTTAGATGACATTAAACTCTCTTATGGGGAAGTTCACTTGACCATTCTCCCACGCATTATACGATGGGAACATGATAACCGGCTATGAAGACGTTTTCTGAAGGCCAGTATCTCTTCAGTCTGCGAAAACCACAATGTTTTGGGTTCTGGGAAGCGGTGCGGATGGAGGAGGATGAGTCTGGATCAACTTATGTAAAGTCTGGATCTTATGTAAACCTTACGCTGATGCTTACCGTGTGTCTGATGCTCAACCTGCCTTTAAAATCAATGCAGGGTCATTAGAGTTAAAAATAAACCATACAAAGTTACTTGAAATACAATAAATGTGAA